GAGTTATAAGAGGAGTATTATATCGGGACCCGAAAAATGTCAGCTATTTTTATGGGAAACCATAAAATGAACACTTCACTTGATTCGTTTTATGGTGCGTCCGTTTTCCAGTCCTTTGTTTGTGTTCAGAGCCTGTGCAGATTTCATACATATTTATATCAGCATTTTATGTATTCGTAAACAACAAATTACAATGAGAAGTCAAAACTCAAGAAACTTTACTGCGATTGCTTTGAAGCCAAAATGTGTGCTTCAAAAATTATATTTCCATTTAAAATGGCATAAAGTTGTTCCAGCTGTGATTGCATTAGCATATTATTCAATTTCAATGGAAGCAAAGCATTAACTTAAGGTGTGTGCAGCCAACACAATAAATTTATTTAAATGAGTCATGAAAATTAAGCGCAACTGCGTGGCAGGTGGGGCAACAGAGTCCAATTCACAGTCATGCCACATAGAGTGGAACAGTTGTTAGTCAAAGCGTGAGATGTAGATAAGACAAAGCCTAGAATGCGAAGACAAATAAAACTATAAATATAGGCGTGCCAGTGCCCTTGCCTACAGCATAACAGTTGAGAGGCAGAGCTTATTTACATAAGTGCTGGCGCACGTGTTTGATATTTCTTTTAGTTTTATGCCAGACAATGTCGCACACATACACGTACATATACATACACATACACATACACACATACATACATATGCCCATTGATAATTCAATAAACTAAACAAGATTCTGCACAAGATTTATGGGTTTGCTGAACCCACACATAAGACCTGCACCGTCTGAGTACAGGCCGCAAAACAGCGCTGAGAGGTTTATAAATCTTCATTTCAACATACCACAATATGTACACACACACACACCCACAGCCACGCCCACACACACACACTTACTACTTGGCTTAAATCTTCATCTTCATCTTTGGCTACAGCTTCGCGTGACATCATCGCCAACTTGGCCTAGATATGAAGAGGGGGGAGAGGCGCGGCTTGCGTGCTTATTAAAATGCTATCTGTATGACGAGCGCCCAATTTAAAATTGGCTTTTATAATGAACGGCACGCAGCTGTTTCATGAATTGCCAACACTTATGTTCAATAAATGCCCATAAATTTGTGCTACAATACACGCCTCGGGCGAGGCATTAAAATGCACGAGGCATGCCGCAAGGTAGGCAACAGACAAATGTCAAAAATAAAATATGTTCCCCTGTGTATTTAAGTGTGTGTGTGTGTAGGTGTGGTTGGGGTTGGGGTTGGGGTTGGGTGTGTAAGTATCGCAAATCTGTGTATTATTTTCGCGGCATAACGCAGTTGCTTTTTTTGAAAACCCAAACATTTGTTACACCCACAACAGCAACATCCACTCGCAGCTGTGCCGCAGTTGAGGCAAACACTTACTGGATGGCCGCTCGCTTCAGGCAGCCCCCACTAGAAGAAGCTCCTGCTTTAACGTGTACCCATCAAATTGATGGCCAAAGCGGCAACATTTGCCAGGCAGCCGAATTGATTAATTGACAGTTGACTCAGCGGCATTCGCCACTTCTGCTGTTGTTGGTTGTGTGTGTGTGTGTGTTTGTAAGTGTTGACTTTGGCTTTGGCTTTGGCTCTAATGTCCAGCATTTGTTATGTGTCCATAATGCCAAATGCGCCAAGCTGACTTTGCCACATTACACAAAAGTGCATTAAATTTCAGCCCATTAGACATGTCGCAAATTTTGGCCAACTCCCACAACTGGGCCAAATTTCTTTGGACGGCATTTATCTGCAGTTTACGCATCGCTGACTGCAGTTCTTGGCGCTATCGCCGCTATCAAATTAACATTGTTCATTTTCCAAATGCAAATGAGCCAAATCAAAATCGTGCACAACATTTTAGAGCAGAGAGAGCGCAAAATATAGCTGAGAGCTGCAAATGTAACTAGTTAGACAACTCTGTGTTTACTTTGTTTTCGATTTTGCTCTCTAATTTTGCAATTTCCCTTAGGTAATTGCTTTTTGCACATAACCCAACACTGCCAACCCATGCAGAGTTACCAGGCCATGCTTTAACTGTGAATGTATCTGTATCTGTTGGATGCAGCATGGCACTGGCCTGCGCGAATCCGCCGATAGGCTAATTGCCACCACAGATATCTGCAATTACATGTTATTAATGCAATTTTGTTTCGCAGCACAAACAAAATGAAAAATCACAACATTTGCATAATGCTGACGTGGGCACGGCGAGCCAATTGCCACTACTGAGTGCGTCAAAAGCGAACTGCACAAGTTGTTGATATGCGCAGTCATAAAACGTGACATTTGACGTGAGGTTGAATTTAAGTCAAGGCATCGACTGCCCATAAATATGTGTGTAAATATTCCTACACACAGCTGCCTCCACACACACACACACACACACACGCGGTAAGGTAACAAAACTCAAAATGAAACGCAATTTGCATACATGCATGGGCGGGACGGGGAAAAGGCAAAGTTAAGAGTGTGTAGATTTTTATGCGCACTCACACACACGCACACACATGCCCGCTGTGAGTATGTCAAGTCAAAAGTAAAGGTAAACCAAGGGACTTGGCCTAATCTGCATAATAATAAACCACACTCACTCTCATACAGTACACACACACCCACACACACACACAGACCCAATTCGCACAAAAAGTGCCAAATTGGCGCTCCGGCAGGCACAGCTTGGTTGCAAGTAGCTCAAAAATCCCAACTCATCCTTGTTGCGAGTTCACAACTTGCCATATTTAATATTGTGTAAATTGAATTTCCATCACTTTATGATTACTTGGTGCTTTCAGACGGAAATATAACGGACACAAGCGACTCGGGCCCAGTCAACACGACACGACACGGCACAGAACTCAACGCAATTGACTTCAGGTTCATATCTACAGGAAAAACCAGAAAAAATGTTTAGCTAAGGGCTGTAGAAGATTGAATACCCTTACACGCCAGCAGAATGTCTGATGTCTGATCTGATTTGATACCGTAAGTTATCCTCTTCAAACGAAAATCCGCTTGTGAAACGATTGTTTCCAGGATATAACTCTTGTCAAACTGAATTTAATGAAAATGCATAATATATCTTTTAGTACAAAAAGCTGCTCAAACAATTGTGACAAGTTTGTGGTATAGTTAGTATTTCGATCTAATCTAATGTAGGAGAAGGATATGTCCAGAATAGTTCAGGTTGAAAACTAAGCGACCAGATTAATCAGCTTTAAGCAGAGGCTCTCTATCAAATATGATATATTTTTGAAGTAAATATATCACTTTTGCTCTATTTTACAATAAAATTATTATACCCTCTGCAAGGGTATAATAAAACCGTTAATTCTAGAGCTTGCTGCACAGCAGTTTGAAAGTGCTGTGAAAATCAATCATTCAAGTGAACAATTTTAATTTACGCTTAATTTTTCACATTGTGCTGAGAAGACATAGTCTTTTAATTTATGTGTCATATAAACGATGAACAGGAGGGATTTTAAAAAGAGAGAGGGAGCGAGTAAGCGAAAGAGCTTAATATATAATAAATAGGTTGTGATTGTTTTTCTACGGAACAAGAAGCCGCCGGCTACTATTAATAGGTACGGGTACACGTAAAGCCTAGTCGAAACCATTTATTAGTAGGTCTGCAAGTAAGTCTTTGTCTAATTATTATTAAAATTCGTATACAAATCTTCTTCATTACTTCGAGAATCATTCTCGAAAAGCGATCTCTAATTTTCTTCTAGCTTTTCAAGCAGTCAGTTCCAACGAACAGTCAGATATTCTAAATATGTGTATACTATAAGGGAATCTCTAGCTCTTATAAGTGCTATGTTTAAAAACAGGATTTCGAATAGCATTCTTATCGACTTAATGGAAATGGGTCAAGGTATAGATGCCGTGATTCTAGTGGGTAATAACTACGTTTAAAATTTCATGTATACAGCTCTTATAGTCTCTGCAATTGATGCACAAACGGGCAGACGGACATTGCTAGATCGATTCGGAAGATAAATAGATTATTCCCTCTGCGTGTTACAAACATTTGCACAAAATCGTCATATCCTGTGAACTCATTTTTATTGGGGTCAGGGTATTTAAATTGGTTTTCTGGATCAGCTTAACGGTTGGGTTGCGAAAAGCTGGAACAGCTCAGCTGCTTCCGCTGGTGTCGAACATTTCTTGCAGCTTATTCTCATTTTCTAGCTGCACTCGCAAGCCAGAACCGAGCCACGTTTCCATTTTAATCAACTGGCTAGGCGAGAATCATTGACAGGACCTGCACTAATAAAATTTTATTGCCTTCATGTCGTTGCCCTACTACTGACCCGGCACCAACTGGAGATTTTTATGGTGCTTCTCTGGCATTGGCAATTTATAAATTTGTAGCGTCTAAAGCTGTGGCAGGGGCAACATCAGCTTCCAATTTGCATGTGTGTGTGTGTGTGTGTGTGTTTTGCTTGTTCAGGTGTGGAACAGCATGCAGCGGAATTGCATGGTGCACAGCTACCGCAAACACCTGAGCACTGCAACACTCTCTAAATTGCGTGCCGTCAAAAACTTGAGCATTGAAATTGAATTTGTTTTTTATATTCTTTTTCCCTTTCTCTTTGCATTTCATTTGCACGTTTTTGCACTTTACTGAACAACCATTGGCAACATGTCTGACAATTGCACCACAAAGCGGCAAGCGTGTGGCGATTGCCGACGATGTGGTTGTCAAGGGAGCCGCCGCACGTTGCACAATTTATTGGATGTTGCATATGCAGCTGGGAGGGTGGGGGAGGTTAGCTGACAGTTGCAGCATTGAGAGTTCTCCATTTAAGCCACTAGTCAAATAAATTAAATAATTGCACTTTATTGTGGTTAAACGACTGTCCGTCGTGCTTACCCTTATTATGCACGCAGTTATTGAAAGCGATTGCAATTGATTAATTTTATTTTTGAGCGAACAATAAAAACGAGTTGTAGGAGTTGAGTTTACTCGATTAATTTATTTTCATATTTTATATGTTTACAGCGCGCGTACGGTTTGCAATAAATGTATTTACTTTGAATTTATTAAATCAAGTGTTCATTGTTTAATGTTATTTGAATTGAATTATCGTATTGAATCGGTTATAGACATAATCTCATTGGTTTGTAACTCTTTGTTTCATAACTCTGTAGTACACATAGAAAGCTAAGTAATTACGTACATGTAACCATATGTGTTTTGCATTTATTGCATACACACATGTAAATTTATATATATATATTAATATATTTGAGTTTTAACACACACATAAAACTTATCCAAAAGTTATTTGATATATAAAATGCATATCATTTACTAGAACTAGGCCAACAGCTTGATTCCTGATACGCATTCCTTATTCCGTATCTTTTTGCTGCATTTAACAAGTGCGATGCTTAGATACCCATATTCCACATTCTCTCATATTCTCAGTTTCTCAAAAATATTTCAATATTGTTTTTTTTTTCGAGTTTCCTAGAGCAACGTCAGGCCTTAGCCGACTTATTGAGCTCTTTGGTTGCAATATCCGTTCCTTTTCCTGCGTCTTCGCCTGTGGGGCGTCGAAATCGCGCGCGTTTTAAGCCGCGCTGCCGTTTTAAACAGCCTGGCCACATGTTGCGTGCTTGGACTTTGGCTTGGTTGTCAATTGAGACGTTAAAGTTAATGTAAATTTATTTCGCTTGTCTGTTTCTGTTTGTGTGTGTGTGTGTGTGTGTGTGTGTGTGTGTGTCTATGTGTATATAAGTTGTATGCAACATCAATAAAACATCAATAAAAATTTGATAACAACACTTGTATAAAATCGCGATGTTACGACGGTTGGGTTATACATATAATGTATATGGGTATATAGGTTTTATATTCTTTCTTGTTCATAATAACATTTAACAGACACACAAGGTTAACAGCTACTTATAGATGTGTTTCGGCGTGAGGAATGATCAACATTTTTTTGAATTTTTATTTCACATATTTCTAATAATTTCACATCACAGCCAATGGGTACTGACGATGGGATGCCTTCTCTTTCATTTAATATCGCTGTCGCACTCTCTCTCTCCCTCTCTTTCGAACTCTTGCTCATGTTGGGTGACATTGAATTCTAGGTGTGATTCGTGTGATAATTCTGACATCGATCGGCGACGGCGGTAAACTGATTCAACTTCATCTTCATCTTTGTCCTGTTGTTATTGGTATTGTTGTTGTGGTTGGCGCTGGTATCTGCCCCGGCAATTGTGTTGACCGCAACTAACAATTTGGAGGTCTCTGTTATCCATCTGGGAAATTGCCAGGTCCCAGCTGGAGCATGTCTCACTTGGGCTCCTCGAACTGCTGCCCAACCACTATGATGATCACAATGAATACCGCCAGCAGCACCAAGATGCAGCAAATGGCCACGGCCACCATGGCGCTGTTACTCATTCGGGCGTCTAAATGGCCAACGTCTGCCTCAACAAAAGCCTGTTGTCCTGTGCTGGATTCAAGCGTTCAGCCGAATTGTTGCCTCTGTTCGCAGTTAATTGCTGTGTGAGATACAGAGACTTATGTATATTTCTCTGTGCTACCCTTTTATTTTTTTTTTGTTTGATGCCCCGTTTTGTTTGTGCACAGTTGAGATCATCCGTGGGGACTAACCAAAGAGCGTACCCGTTGCCCAATCACTTGTCATAACTGCCCGACTCCGTGCCCTCTGCTCGGCATTGATATATGCCCTCACATTGCTGCGGGCGGCCCAAAACAAATTGCGTACCATAAATTCCAAGGACTGCCTATCAGTCGCTCGACTGTACGTGAAATCCCCCGCCTGCTGCCGGTACTCCAATCAACCAACCCCTAACACTACGCACTCTGACAGCTTGTGGACAGCCCAAAACTTGTCATGCCTCTCTGTTCGCATTGTGCAGAAACAAAGTGCACTATGTGTGTGTGTATGCGTCTGTGTGTGTGCTTAAGTGTGTCCTGGCGCTCCTCCATCAGGAGGCGCACAAGTGGAAATTTGACAAAAATCACAACCGATAATAGCGAGTGTGAGGCGTCTGTTAATGTGTGTGTCTCTATCTGTTTGTGTGTGTGTGTGTTTGCTTTTGACATTTGATAAATGTAGTTCTCAATACAAGTGTCTATCCGTGAGTGTGTGTGTGTGTGCGCTGCTTTGTGTCCAAAGATCACATTTGTGCCGTGTTGCATTTGCTGTCAGCAGGATGCAATATGAAGTGCCTATTAACCAGTCTAATAGATACTAAGCCAACAATAATGCCATATACTACAATATTATCTAATTTGTGCAAGCACTCCTTGCAATAATTGACACAGAGGCCACTCGCTTAATTTCCTGCAGAGCGGGGCAAGCGCACACGGCAGGAGAATTCAATTATCGCCAAACATAACAAACATAACTTGACAAACTCAATTAAAAATACCTGCTTTTTTTTATTAAAAAGGGGTGTTCTTTGTTGGACAGGGAAAAAAGTAATAAAAATTGCATTATGAGCTGATGAACATGCACTCATGTAAAAAACTTTTTCAATGTTCATTAGGAGAAAATTACTCTTAATAAAAGAAAGCTTTTGGCTTCACAGAAAACAAAAGAAGCGCAAAAATTTATTTGAAAAGGCCAAAAAATTTTTTTTTAATTACTCTCATTGTTTTTATTATTTGGCAAGTGGCTAAATTAAGATATATTTCTATATATAAGACTGTTTATCCTGACTGATATTGGTTAGTAATCTAGGCACAAAAAAAAGTAAGAGCTAGGCGCGAAATGGGCCTTAAATATTGTATTATCTTTAATGCACGCCTGTTGGATATATAACTTAAGAATATGTCTAGTATTAGTTAAGATAAGATTTCGATTTTCAAATGTTGGAAATGATTGGAAAATTATCTAAAATGTAGAGCAAGAAACTTGGACCGTGCAAGTCCGGGTAAAAACCAGCTAGTAATATAAAATGTTTGACACAAATGAAAATAACGCTGACATTTGCCCAAAGGGGAAAGGCTACAGCACAACAACAAGATACACAACAGGAAAAACTGCAATATACAAAAAAAACCGAAAAACAAATGACAAACTGAAAGAAAAACATAGTTCGGAAAAGTTTTTCACAGGAATGAAGCATAAAAACTAATGCAGCCCGACAGCAGCAAATGGTCACAGCTGCTGACAGTCAACGAAGAAGGATAAAAAAAAAAAACGGCGAAGAACTAAAATGAAAATACAAAATATAATAAAAAGAGACTAAATTTTCAATTGAATGTTTGCTCGGAACTATTGGCACGGCGGGCAGCTGGGCAAATCTCTTGACAGACATTTCGAACTGCACAGCGAAAACATTTTAAATTTCAATTTCAAACGAGCAAAGGGCAAAGAATCACCCAAGTTTCTAGCTCAATACAGAACTGAGGAGCTCGGGACCCCGCATATTTGTCGATGGGCGAACATATTAATTAATTGGGGCGGCGTTATACAATTTGTTATGCGGGCCTGCTGTGCCGGGCAGGTCCTGCGATTTGGCAAGGCGCCGCGCTCTTTACATATTTTGGCATTATTTCTTTTTGTTGGCCAGGCGTTGGTTTAATGCCTTGTCGTTATTTATGTGCTTGTTTTTTACACTGCCTTTGCCTTGGCACGTAAATTTGTTTTTTATGCTCTCTTCTCTGCTGTTTCCTTTGTGCGTGCGGCGCGCGGAAGTGAAATGTTATATATAAGCCAGGCATAGTTTGAACTTGTGAGCTTTTTGTTTTTGCCGGACCTGTCCCTTTCGTCTGTTCCTTTTGAATTGGTCAATTAATATTAATGAAAACGGCAGCACTTACTGTCCGGCCCACCCCAACTAAATGGCTCCTGCTGTGTGATAAATGTACCAGCTGCATAATTGATGCGCCACAGTTTGCTGGCGAGCGCTCTGCTCTAAGAACTTTAAATTCAACTACATCATAAAGCCAACATTGTCACAAAGCGAGTGGGGACGGAAAGTTTGCCCATTTCGATTACATTGCAATAAGTCAATTTGTCAGCTTATTTGCAGCTTACGCAGGTAAAACAAGCAATATCTATACACGTTTATAAGAAAATGCAATGCAAGCAGTGCGTATACGTAACATATTGGCCCTTTGGCGCTTGTTGTTTTATAACAAACGATAATAAACCTAAAAAGTATTCATACTTGCTTATTGTGCTGACACATGCGCCCGAAGAATAACGAGCGGAAAGGACTTTTACGGCCAGCCAAAGCATAAGATCTTAGACAAAGAGAAAGACTCTTACAGCACATTTCACTGACACATATCGCCTGTCGGTTTTGTCTATGGGTCTTAATTAAATTAGCGCTTCCCCAGCAACAGCAGCAGCAGCAGCAGCAGCTGGCTTTGAAGGCAACGCGAAACAACAGAACAAGGCGGCCAGACAGCGCCAAAATGACAGCACGTCACCCAAGAGGACGACGCCAAAAAAAAAATAACAAAATATAACAAAAACATGAAAAAAAGGCTATGTGCGGCACGCCGAAGAATAAATATTCTGGTAGGCTTAAAACAGCTTTTAAGCCAAATCTTATTTACAGACTGATTGGACATATGGCAGCCATATAATATAATATATATTTGTTGAAGATATCATAAGAACAAGCTAGTTTTCAATTGATTGTTCAGTTGAGCTATATGATAGAGTAGTTCGATGTTGATAAGCTTTTGCTCTGTATTAACTCGACTGTTGACATCGATCTATATTATGTCGGAGACATCTTTTGCTGTGCGTTACACTTTTAGTGAGAAAACTATTGTACTCTCTACAAGGGTATCGAAAATAAAACAAGACACACCCCGATTCTCGTGTTTCCGAGCGAACAAATAAAATACATTTTGCAATTTCGTAAGTTTTATGCGCACATTTGCAGAAATTTGTTTATGCTGGCTGAATGCGTAGACCAAGGCCCCGCCAATGGAGCTGGAGTTGGAAGTTGAGGGCACAGTCCATGTCTGGTGATTCCCAAAAATGGTGAATCCACCCCAAGAGGCGCAGCCATCGATATCATCAGCTGCGGGTGACGTTGGAAACTGTTTGTGCCAGCACAAATTCAATTTGTGTCAATAGCGAGAGACGCATGCAAAAAACTTGAAGGATTTAAAGCGTGCAAAAACTACCATCAAATTAGAAAGAAAATTGCATTGCCCCAGTGTAAATGCGGCGTAATTGCGTACGTATTAAAGGGGCATAGCTTTTGGGGCAAGTTCAGCAGCGTTGATTGTGCTGCTGACCTTGAGGCAACGCCGTCAAGTGTCGCCCCCCAATGGGCGGCTCAGCGCGTGTAGACACACAATGGCAGCATAAATGCTTTATAAGTGCTTTAAGATTGTGCCACGCGTTGTTGTTGTTGTTGCTGCTGCTGCAACTGAGGCAGCAGCAGCTGTTGTCTTGCAATGTCAAAAGTCAAAAGTGCATTAAAATAATTGCACTTGTTTAGTCAGTACTGCGGCAAAGCCGCTAGCAGTCAGCAGTCGGCGAATATTTCTGATTTTTTTACCAAACGATGTCAGGTGTGTTTATGTGTGAATGTGAGTGTATGTGTGTTTGTGTGTGTGTGCCTGCCATAAGTATTTCCGCCACTGACTACACTTAAGCTTGAACTCAGCAGAAATCTTTTGTCTTAGTTTTAAAACGCACGTCTGGCGCTCAATGTTGGATGAGTGAGTGAAAGATAGAGAGAGAGAGAGAAAGAGAGAGAGGGATTTATATGCCCTGCGATATCTACTCTTTGTAACTAACTTAACCTCGACACAGAGTCCTTGCCCCAAGCCTTCACTTTCCGCCAGCATTGTTCTGTCCTGTTGCATGCTTCGCTTTCACTTTTGCCTTATGCAGATGCTTTAAAGATTACGCAAATGCGACAAAAAGACTTTTTGTATATACTATATATATTACAAAAGATATGCCAGGCGTTGGTAGTCAAAAAGGCAACGCCAACCGCCTAACCGCTTTCCGACCCAATTCAAGCGCTGTACGAAGATTGATGAAATTCTTGAGTAAACGACATTACCATTTAGGTATCAATCCAGTACTGACTGCCGCACAAATGGCCGCTGGTTATGCACAGCTGCCCATTTGAGCCAACATTGATACAGGCAAAATAAGTGGCAATGCTGCAGTCGAAGACATTCGACTGGCAAATACTCTGTGCATAACTGTGGAGAACATGTTGGCTAACTTGACTACCTTTCCTTTCTTTTGAGTAAAACAATAAATCTGTAAGACAAGAATTAGTATCCCCAAGCATTCTTCATTTTGGAAAGCATTGCACAATCTTGTTATTCCTACTTTTCTATCTGGTACTGTATCGCCAAACTCACAGTTGAGAAGATAGAAAAGCGATAGACTGGCATTGTATAATCAAACTAACTAATGCTGCTGCCTAAATATATCATTAGTCAATGTTTGTCTATTTAATTTGTATCTAAGAAGGGTATTAAAACGACGTATTTACAAATTGGCATATTTTATGATGTTTCTGTGCTTCTGTCAAATTTAATTTGCAAAATTGTTGATTTTCAAATAAGTTATAAATTCAATGTGTATTACATTTGCATTATTAATTTTTGAGCGAATTTTGTATAGTTTCTCGTTTGAAACTGTCACGTCCGCGGGCAAATTCATGATTCATTTTATGTAAATTAAATTAAAACAGTTTTATTTTTTTTCTTTTTTTTTTAGTTTGTTTTACAACAATTTCGCATTGCCAATATAACTTATCGAGTTGACTGCAGTGCCGCGGGCATAATGGGAGGCTATTAATATTTCATTTGGCCCGAAACTTTTTCGGCCACGCACATTAAAGAGTTTTATTGAAATTGGCAATGCTGCTGTTTTATTATCTATGGACCCCTTTTGCTCGGCCAACTCCTGGCCTAACTTGGCTAACTTGGCTTTTACAATGCTGAAGAAGTTTCGGTCTGTACGGCTGTCAGGTTTGGTCAATTGCAGTGCTACGATTTAGCCCTGAAATTGGACAGGACTTGAGCATCTCGAGGTGTAATTAATTGGATTGCTTGAGAAATGGAATCGCAGTCGGCTTTAAATATGTAAGCAATTGTCAAAATGTTTTCAATTTAGTTTTGACTTTATAGAGCATCGCTTTGGTTATAAGTCAATAATGTGCATGCATAAAATATTTGAACTCAGGTTTATAATGAATATATAAATATTTATTGCTGAATATGAGACACATTCGTGCAGAATTGCAAAACTGAACTTTTCCAAAGAAAAAAGCTAAATACAAAACGGAAATGCAATTCCGAGAAGGGTTTCGGGTCAATTAATGCATAAATTATAATGAATAAATAAAATATTCATAACTTCTGTGAGTTCTCATCTGTGACAGGTGTTGTAAGTCTAACAAGCCAAGCATGCCATACAGAAATTTATATTCTGCGTGAATATATTGGAGAAAATATATGCGTAATAATAATATACATTTTGTTGTTCCGAGCTAACTTAATCAACTTTTGCATTAACGAGGTCCTCAAATCGTATCAACATTGGACACAAGATCATATAGCTCAAAGGGAATCGATCTATGAACAATGTATTTAATACTTCCGATATATTTTTAAGCGTGGCATTTACGAAGTTAAGATGCTTTCTCCACACGAGTACGTACTTTTCAGCTCTATAGAAGGAATCGATTCAAAAATTTGTTTTTCCTAACATATCTGCAAAATCGTTTCAAATCTGATGAACATAAACATTCCCAAGCAAAGATAGATAGCTCAACAAACCATCTATTAACTTAAAATAAAAATGAATTAAAAGAACAGCAATTGGTTTTTGTTTTCATAGTCAAAAGTTGGCGTTACACTCGGCGTATACTTAACATTTGCCATTTGGCCCTTAACCTGTTTTAAATTACGTCGCTGTTTTCAATTTCTCACGATTAACAAAGTGTCAGGAATTCAATTAAGAGACTTAGCTGCCGGCAGGCAGCTACTTTGTAATTTTAAAGGAATGTGTGAGGGCAATAAGAGTCGAGGCTTGGTTATAGGAGGCTTATTACGCTTTAATCAGCGAACTCATTAGCGCCGCGCCGTCTACAAACGATATATAATTTAAAGTAGTGGGCATGTCGACGCCCATCTCCTAAATCCGGAAATGCCTCCGCCTGCGGCAGACTGTGGCAGCAAAGTTTTTTGGTTGGCAGCCATCAAGTTGATATAGTGAAAAAGTTGCAATATATTTCTATTTAGTTTCATATCGCACGACAGCGGAGGCAAATGTTGCAACTGGCGGGGCAACTGGCCGGAAATTCACACAGTCCTTGCCCTCTCGAAAAGAAAATACCATATATACATATATATATATTTACAACAACAACGGATTAGCTCATGTGCTGCAGGCGCTAATTAAATTCGGGCTCGCGGCTTTGAAAGTTGAGCTTACGCAACGTGCGGCCAATGCCAATGCGCAAAATTATAATAATTTCTTTGCTAGTAATGAAAAAACGCAGCGCACCGGAAATAATCAGAAAACTAAACGGAAACAATGCCACACCCACTCCCACTCCCAGGCAAACGCCCGCCGCTTAGCCTTTTTCTTTGCATTTGGTGAGCCAAAAGGTTACTGAGAACGCGCAGTCATATGAGCATATGAGGGCGGTTTTCTATGAAGATTTGTGCATGTGGGCGTGGCAAGCAAAAGTTTCATGCGTCTGCATTAAGGTTAAATGAATGCAGCTCATTTTGAAAAACCCTGTGTAGTTCGTCAACCGTAGCTGAGCCTGGAAACTGGTAAGCGCCCCCGCACATCAAGCCAGGTGAAATTTTAACGATGCACACAAAAGCCGAGCGACAGCTAATGAATAAATAATTTATGCGTAAAACCCACAGACAGGGCTCAGAGTCGGGCAACATTTATAGTCGTCAGTCAGCCTTTTCTCTGGCTTTTTTAACATTTACCACACGTAGCAACTTTTATCTCTCCATTAGCCGCAAAGCAAAGGAAGCTACGGTGGCGCACGCAATGGCCCAGGACTTGGCTCGAAACAGGTGTCAGCAGTTGGGAGTTTCTCTTCGCACACAAAGGGTTGTGGTTATCACTTGAGTAGGCTGTTTGCTTATCACCTGGCCAGCTAAGCACACACAAACAGGCACAGCTACAAAACAGTAAGAGAATTGGCTATTGATTGACTATTTGCACAGTTGGCACGTTTCAATCTTGGCAACGATTGGCAAATTGCTGCGAATGCCAGGAACTGAAGCAACAGCCAACCAAAGTATCCTGTTTTCGATTTGATTTTCAAATAAGTGGCCAAAGTCCACCACAGACAAACACTATTAGCAGAGAATCACAAAACAATTTTACATTTCACGTTTAGCTAGCTATGTCCAAACAACATCCAGCCATAAATCCCTTAACAATTGTGCTCAGAGCCAATCAGAACAACTGGTATTTGCATTCATATGAAAGTCGCCCACTCGCATGTGTGCGTTGCCATTGTGAGAAGGATAATGGAAATCGGTGGCAGCAAAGGGGAAATCTGTCGCTGCTTGTTTGTCTCTTTGAGCACATCAGCTAATAATGTTTGCCTTTTATGCAGAGCTTCGCATGCATATTAGGCTAAATATGTAATAAATTTTTACTGCGCTTGAATGGGTACAACCGTAAGAAGCATTAAGGAGAATTAATGCGATTACATTAGATAAACAGCGGATAGTATAAAATCGAATGACTAATACCTATTATAGATTCCCCTTAAGCACATCTTTCCCGAGCCAAACATTCCTATTTACTTAACGCTCATTTTATGATTTCAGCTTGATGCCAAATCTATCTCACTTGTATTTCAAATGTGCACAAACAAAACCCACATCAATACTTTTATCTTTTTTTTTTTTGGCATTTTCAAGTTACATTTTAAATATATTTACGCTTTGTAGACGCGAAACCTTTGTACACAATGTCCTGTATTAATTTGTTGTACTGTTGAAGCTCGTATTCTCAATCTTATCGTCGTTAACGCGCGTGGGAAATAGTTACCAAAACAAGAACGCGAATCGAGCACAGAAAAGAAAAATGCGTAAGAAATGTAAATTTAAATATGCAACATAAAAAGCACAAAAGCGTTTAAAAAATGGCGACGCGCGACTTTAAACAATATTTGCCGTTTCAAAACACGAGCCAAAAGTAACGGGTAAGCTGCTGATAAAGCTTGCCACACGACACGACTTGAACGGTGACTTTAACTGCTGCTGTTAATGCTGCTGCTGCTGCTGCTGCTGCTACTGCTGAAGCACTGGCTGAAGCGACTTGCGTGCCTGGCCGACTGTCATCGACTGAGTTGATTCGTGCGCTGCTTCCAGCATATAAAAGCAATCAGAGAGCCGAGTGCGACAGGGAGAGACAGACGAGCGAGAGAGCGAATGTGTGCGTGTGTGTGCGTGCCTCTGCTGGCAAGGACTAGGCAAGCGAAAGCTTTTGCCTTAACGTTGACTGTTTGGCTGTTCGACAATCGAATGGACGCAACTCACATGCAATAAATCTTAAATCAAATTGAATTTATGATTCTTTTATTTCGTTTTATCGCGCAGCATCTTTGCTCACCCTCCCTCCATCCCTCCCTCCCACTCGCTCACCCTCTACTGCAGCAGCTTCTGCTTGGCATTTGCCCTAGCTCTCCGAGTCCTAGCTTGTTTACTTTGCTATCTCATTAGAGAATCGCCTATTTCACTTGTTTCGAGTGCCCAATCGCAATTTTATTAGTGTCTTAATCACTCGACAAGTTGGCACCTGACATGCTGACAGGTGGCAACAAAAGCCAACCGACTATGTACTGGCTACTGCTTAAATGTTGTCAGATGAAAATCGTGAAGCTTAGCCTTCATTATCTGGTAAATTATGGAAAACTCGTTAAGCTGCCCATCGACAGTCAGCAAATTCTGCGCGCCAAACAATAGCTGCAATACCCAATAAGCAATTTCAATAGTCACTGATAAGCGCCGGACCTGATAAGGTGGCACGCGCACTGCGCAGGCGTGAGCTTTAAGAGAGCGAGCAGCAGTAGCAGCAGCAGTAGCTGGCTCAACTGATAAGACAGTATGGAGCAGGCCGGGCAACGCTTGAATTTACTTCAATCGCTGCTTGAATGTGGCCAGTGACAATAGTATGGGGCATTTAACGAATTGTCATTGATTTCCTTTTGCATTGGGCGGCGTCTTTTGTTGCCTTTATATATTTCTTTGTACATTAGGCATTTGTGAAGGGCCAGTGGCAGCCCCCCAGACGCAGCACCACCCGCAAATGTTGGGCTATCAAACGAGGATCGCAAATTGAATTTGGTAAAGCAGCTGCCTGCCACACAACATTGTCTTAAATAATTATATTCGCGTTTAATTAATAAGTTTGCTGCACTCCGACAACAACGAAAACAACAACAAAAGTCGGCAACTGAGTTGCCAAAAAAAAAGGTCGCGGCCCATTGTCTGTGTGACCCAAACTTTATAATAATAATGTATTTTTGTTATACCCTGTACTCATTGAAGGTAGTCAGGTCTGTCTCTGTATGAAAGTCGAAAAATTCAAGGGTCAGATAAAGGGCTTTCGTATATTATTCGCAGAAAGAGTTTACCTTTTCCACATTCCCATAATATCAACAAATATTCATTTTATCATAATATTTTTTGAGCATACAGATTTTAAGCTTAATGGCAATCTTTACCGTGCCCATAAGATTGAAACAAAAAGTATAGCTGTGCACTTTGGTATATAAACACCTTTTAAGCCTTGCAAATTGCATAAGGGTCAGACTTTACTACAGATAGTTATGCAGGAATGAAATTTTAAGCGAGGAAATATATGTTTCACAAAGAATTTACATTTTACATAATTTACTGCTTGCTACGGGGTATTTCCCATTCGTGCACTTCCCACTGAGGCACATTTGGTTATTTTTTTTACATCATGTTTTTTTTTTCTAAATAAGCGGCAGCAAGACGAAAGTCGTAATACAAAAAAGATGTTAAAAAGTTGACGCAAAGGACTCTCGGGGTTGCATTTTGGGGCAGAGTCCAGTCTGGTTAGTCATTAAATTTGTGACCATTTTTTTGTTTTCTCATGTCGATATAAATAATGAGCTGCCGCCAGCTCTCGCTTGACTGTGTGTGTGTGTGTGTGTGTGTGTCTGTGTGTGGGGCGGGTCAAATTGCAAATATTGTCAAAGTTATTTAGGCAGCGCTTAAAAGTCTGCCAACATTTATATATTTATTTACTCGAGCGGCATTTGGTCGTAACTCGGTTACAAACCATCGAAGCCACAACACAAGAACAAAGGCAATGCTCCACACCAAACTTGGCCTCAATTAGAGCAATCCTCTGTTAAGTTGTTGATATTGACCAAAGAGAAATTGAGGCTAATTAAGTGCACAGCCTCTAGATAAACAACTACGTTAACTTGAGGACTAAACATGGCACTTACCTGCATAGAACAAAGGTAACAGATTGAAGACAATAACAAGCGGAAATACAGTGCGTGCAAATTTTTGCATATCCATAAAGAATCTGACAGTCCGAGGGCCCGGGTTAATGGCAGCGGCGGCTTTTGTGCAGTGTTGATAGAGTTTTCGTTGTTTTGTTGCTGTTGTTGTTGCAGTTGATGCTGTTGTAGAGTCTTGACCTTGGCCGTGTTTGGTTTTGGAAGATAGGCGTGATTGTATTGTTGGCCTGCATGTTGCTGTTGCAGCTTTTGTGTTTTTGTTGTTGTTGCTGCTGGAGTGCGCAGCAAAAGCAGTGGCAGCCCCAGTAGCAACAGCAAAGCTTCGACATCCCGCAATGCCAGCGCCAATATCGTTGTGGCCGTCATTGCAATTAGCATCATGTGTACCTGAGACAGGATATTGCTGATGCAGCTGCGGCATTTGCTGCTGCTGCTGCTGCTGTTGCCCAGTCTTCGTGCCAGCATGCTGTAACATGCTGTTCCTCCTGCTGCTGTTGCTGCGGCTATGGCTGGCGGTGCTCGCAGCGATCTCATGTATTGTCCATATCCAATTCGAAGCACCTTTTTCACTTCCGCTCGTTTGTACATCATCTGATGAAGCTGCTGCTGTTGCTGCCCCGAGTGTTGCTGGCGTGAGTGGCTGCCATGTTGTAGTTGTTGTTCTTGGTGCTTCCGATTTACTTTGTGTTGTTGTGTGGCACAGAAACGTTTCGCTTTCAAATTGCTTCCGCTTTCTGCTGCTGTTGACAGTGTGTTGCTGCTGTTGTTGTAAGAGTTGGCGTGTTGTGGAAGAAAAGGACTTGTTTGTTGTTGTTGTTGTTGTTTTTGTTGTTGTTGGTGTGTTATAGAAATGTCGTATCTGTGCTGAGGCCATGTTGTGCCCTGAAAACGGAAAGAGCATGAAACATAATATGTTAAAAAGATGTCACAACAAAAAGAGTCCTTTTATTCCGGGTCATCCCAACACAAACAAATGTTAAGCACACACATATATGTGTATATGCATATGTGTGCAAATTGAAAATGACCAATACCCAATCCTACCTCCGCCTAGGACCCGCTTGGAACTCTTTGGCTTTAGATAGCCGATTCGCTTGCTATTTAGTGAGAATTCCTTGGCCTTTGTGAGCATGTTGCGAGGATTAAGCGTCCAGCAACAACATATCGTTGATGCCCTGTGTATTTAGGCTATCCCTGCCATCTGCGCTACTTTTTAATCAATTTGCACTGGCGGTCGCCGGCGGGACAATCCTTTGACGTTTTGCCAACCATTTCTCCTGTAAATGAGGGTACATTTCGCTATTTTGTTTATTTGCAATAGCCAACAGTTTGCTTTTTTATTTGTTTTCATGATTTAAAGCTCAACATAGCAAATCGATTTAAGGGCATTTTCTTGTGTTTGAGGTCGCATCTTAGAAGGAATCATCGGAAATACTTATTTAAAATCGAATGACTTTGGCTTTAAAATGAGGAGAGGGTATAGTATTTTATGACCAGAACGAACGTAAATGGGCATGAGAAACATATTATTTATATTACCAATAAAAGAGGCCATCAAAATGTTTTTTAATCAAATTGGTCTATTTTGGCTGTTATCATGTGTGAGAAATAGGTTTACGAGCTGCTTTAAAATCATTTTTAAAGATCTACGTCAAATTCACTAAAGAGATTCTTCGCGCTTCGCACTGAGTACAAATTTAAGAATTTGGGCAATATTTATATCTTCAAAATCTTTTATTTAACCTGAGATTTCATATTCAAAGTTCTGTGTATAACTTTTAGTCTCATTTTTGAACATATATATGTAATATACCATTAGACTTGAAGTTTAACATAGTATAATTGAAGAATTCTAAGGCAAACCAACTTTTACAAAATCTACATTACTTATCAGCGCTCTGTTATGTACTACTGTTAATTAACAGTCAAGGGTTATTGCTGGTTCGCCCATAAAAAACGTTTAACATATCCATTTATGGCAGTCGCTTATTTTATAATACAGCAACAAAGCTTTTAAGGACTTACAGAAGTTAACTGTCACGAGCTTTGCACCGAAAGCTGCTAGTCAAGTTTTTCACACATTCGCCATTTTAACTGACAAAAGCTTTGCCAACGTCCATTCAATCAAATGGGCAGCTTTTGCATGCCCCTCAACTGTGCTGATTAGCAGAGAGCTTTTAGAACATGTTAAGGGCCCACAACTAATATCGGTATCATAACGCTTTAGCTGTGAATAACAATAAATTATCTTCAAGTGCATTAGATTAGCTTAGCTGGTACGTTACGCCCACATTCTTATGCCACACACATTTATCAAATTTCGTGGCCAACAAAATGCGTGGCCAACCCGAGCGACGTCAATAACAGAAAGACACAGAGTAAAACTCATTTTCTCATTTTCACTATTGTCTGGGGGTTATCTAACACCGATTCCTATGTGTGCCCACGTGTGTGTGTGTGTTTGTTCAGAGTTGTCCTTGCGGCTATTTCAGACACTGATAATAAAGTAAAAATTGCAACAATGAACGCATAGTTGTCATTGTCATGTTCGGCTGATGGTAAACAGACATAGCCACAAAACAGCAACAGCAGCCACAGAGCTGAGCATAACGCCCACACGTAACACGGACTCACAAAGTGCTCGTAATCAACGTAAAATTCCAGACCACACACACAAACACACACACACGTACGCACACACATTCCCACCTCTGTCAGTGGCTGTTGCTGTTAACGCATTGAGTGTCCTTTGCCATTGGGGCCAGCCCCAAAATTGGCCCCCGCTGCCCAGCTACCCAGCTGCCCATTTGTCCAGTAAATT